AGCAAATGGCCATATCAAGAGGTTTCCCAGCTCCTGTTATTTACTGACCCCAGAAATACCATGAGTGACCCATGCGTATCCGAGTACAGAAGCTGAAACTAACCACCATGACCCCCTAGAGTGATTCTGCCCAAGTTCCAGTGTCAGCCCTGACCTTAAGGTATGATATCAGGAAGTTATTATCCTCATTGTCCTCATCTGTAAAATAGGAATAAAAAAAAAAAATCTACATCATAGAACTTTTACAAAGACTAAATGTGTATAATCCAAATAAAGCACACAGGTAATACATGGCACTTGGTAACAAAATTAATTTAGCTGCCATTACTACGACTACTACTGTTACAAGTAAGTCACCCAAGAGTCACAATTATTCTCATCTAACAGAGGATAAAAGGAAATCTTCACTATCAAACTGACAATTTATTGTTTTAAATCTTATTGGAAGAGGGGCGCCTGGGTGGCGCAGTCGGTTAAGCGTCCGACTTCAGCTCAGGTCACAATCTCGCGGTCCGTGGGTTCGAGCCCCGCGTCAGGCTCTGGGCTGATGGCTCGGAGCCTGGAGCCTGTTTCCGATTCTGTGTCTCCCCCTCTCTCTGCCCCTCCCCCATTCATGCTCTGTCTCTCTCTGTCCCAAAAATAAAAAAATAAAAACGTTAAAAAAATAATTTTTTTTTTTAAAAATCTTATTGGAAGAGAAACTGTATTTTTAATTTTTTTTTTCAGAATACAAAAACTAATCCACAAGATTTTAAAACAAAGAGGGAAGGGCACAAACTACAAAAAGAAAAGATTCAAAAGCAATTAAAAGGGACTATAAACCTATTTCTCACAACCACATTTGTATTTTTTACACAATCACTTCCAATCTCTTTTTGAAAAAAACATAGTTTATTATTTTAGTGCTCTATTTTTCTCACAACACTGTAACAAAAATATTTGGGCATATTCTTAAAATCTTCTTAACTATTCTTAGTATTTTCTGGGGATTCTCCATGAATCCTAAGATTTCTCACATTAAATTTCCTTCTAGGAAGAATTCTATTCTAGTCTCTCTTTCCCTACATTCTTCTGGGGATAAAGATAACAAAAGTTTAAATTTAGTTTTTTAAACTACCCTTCAATTTTGATCCAATTTATATTTTTCCAGATATAGAAGTCTACTTTTCTAGAAATAGAAAATCTATCTTCTAAAAGCCATCTTGCTCTGTTTTCCTTTCCATGTATTACTCTGGATTATGGAAAGTGGATGAGGAATAAGTTGCTTCCAAAATAATAAAAAATAAAAGAGGTATGATCATTTTTACAATAGAAAAGGTGAAATCAGACGAAAAGTAGCTTGTTTTCATTTTTAGATAACATTTACCTTTTTTCTGATTATAAAATGATTCTGCGATTTTTTTTACTATAGTAAAATACTTACAAACCAACCAAAATCATCCATGGCATTATAGTGCAGAGATAATTGACACTATGATTTGGTTTTAATATTTGGGTATATGTCCTTTAATACACAAATATACAGAGCATAAAAATAATATGCCTTTTTGTAATTTGTAGTTTTATATAGCCAGCGTTTTCCCTTTTTTACACTAAAAGCTGCTATCATGAGGGAATGAGAGAAATGGCCAAGAAATGAGCAAATTACAGCAATACAGTAAAAATGTTCAGCAGGTAGCACAGAACAAGTGCCATGTGTTTCAAACGTGCAGGTATTTCTGAAGGGAAAAGAATTAGCTTAAAGCAAAAATGAACAGCAAAGACACCTTGGTCAGGTGTTCTCAAAATTGCCAGTGAGGCACAAAGAAGAGGCTCTACTTGAAAGAGTTGCAGGAGCAGACTCAGAAACACAACAAAATAAAGAGATAAATATTTAGAGAAGCAGTATCAGGGCAATACTGATGACAATCCTTAAATTCCAGAGGATACAGAAAAATTTTCCAGTAAACTGTTCTTTGCCCACTTCTCTATGGGAAAGCTGTTCTCAAGTGTGTAAGTTAACTTCTGAATATATTTAACCAAGTTATTTTGTGAACCTTTTTTTAAATATTTTTTAATGTTTGTTTATTTTGAGAGAGAGAGTGAGCATGCAGGGGAGGGGCAGAGAGAGAGAGAGAGGAAAAGAGAGAATCTCCAAGCAAGCTCCAAGCTGTCAGCACAGAGCCTGATGCAGGGCTCAAACTCAGGAACCGTGAGATCATGATCTGACCAGAGATCAAGAGTCAGATGCTTAACCCACTGAGCCACCCAGGGGCCCCTTGTGAACCATTTTAAGTGATAGTTTGTTTTTAAGTTTTGCTTGTAATATTTCATGACTGAGTATTGGCTCATTTACATTGAAATATTTAATCTCTCGAAATTATTTTGGTGTATGTAAGGTAACTAGATCCCTCTTACAATACAGGCTTGTTACAAAAGTACTTCCATCCACAAGCAAGCTGTGCATGGACAGTTTCAGTGAAGCCCACAGGAGATGATAATGTGTCTATCCCACCTGTCACCCAAGACACTAAGGCACAGCCAGCTTCATGGGCATGTAGTCTGCACAACCACAAAGAATCTTGTGCTCAGAAGGTCACACACTTGGTTTAATGCTCTGTTGTCAGAGACTTGAAATTATTCATTTTTAAATAAGGACCCTGCCTTCCCATTTTACATTGGTCCCACAAATTATGGATCCAGTTCTGCCTGAAGGTTCTCACCCAGGCCAGCCCTACAGTTAACAGATGATGTCCACACAGAAAAAGTACATTTCCACAAGTTATATAGGCAGTTGGTACAAGAAAAAAATCAGGAGTATAATTTATCTTCTACACTAACTATGTAGTGTTCTTTTCACAACACTGTGTTCAGCTGTCTGCAAAAGTATTCTGAAAAATCATAGCAACATTAGGCTATTTCTACTACCTATAGAGACAATTTCAAGTTAGAACTAGGGGCGACTGGTTGTAAGTCAGTTGAAGGTCTGACTCGTGATCTTGGCTCAGGTCATGATCTCATGGTTCATGCGATCGGGCCCCACATCCGGCTTTGTGCTAACAGCACAAGCCTGCTTGGGATTCTCTGTCTCTCCTCTCTCCCTCTCTCTGCCCCTCCCCTACTTATGCTCACTCACTCTCTCTGTCTCTCTCAAAGTAAATAAATAAAAAACTAAAATAAAATCAGAACTAATCAAGGCACTTGGGTGGCATAGTCAGTTAAGCATCACTCTTGGTTTCAGTTCACGGTTTCAGTTCACATCATGATCTCACAGTTCATGAGTTCAAGCCCCACATTGGGCTCTGTGCTAACAGCCTGCTTGGGATTCTCTCTCTCCCTCTTTCTCTGTCCCTCCCCTGCTCGCTTGCTCACACACTCTCTTTTTCTCTCTCAAAATAAATAAAATGTTGCTTTATCACAAAAATAAAATTAGAACGTATCTATACATATGCATTTTGATATATTTTTAAATTCTGTTACATTATAATCACTGACAGTGGGGGGGGGAGGGTTGTACTCTTTTAGTTATTTAACCCAGCTCAATGTCCAAATAATCTACAAATACAAATTGACACATGATTTACAAAAGAAAAAAGAAAAAGAAACTTCATTATCTACATTTCCAAATGTGGGGAACTATGCAAAAACAAAAACTTGGAAACAAAATCTATACAAAAATCATTCCTCCTCAGTCTCAAGATATCAAAGTGAAAGTCAGGCAACAACAGCACAGAGAGTCCCATCTTTCGTGTGTCTTTCAGCATGCGCTCATATGCATGTATTCCAAAACTCACTCGCTTTTTTTCCATCAAGGTCTAAAATTATACTAAACATAATCTGAATAGCATTCCAATGAGGACACTTCCCAAAGTCAACTCAAGTGTTAAGAGAAAAAACACCCACCACCTTCTGATCAAAATCACATATGTTGTAATAATTTAATAAATTAATAAAGCTCTCCTAAATCTCTTTATCCAAGACCTCTTTGAAAGCATACATTTTCCAGGAAAATAATACGGACCAACTGCAACTGTGAACTCAATACATTAGTGAATATGCATAAACACAGGAAAGAAATTCCTCTTGAACCAGCAACCAAAAATCAAGTAAGATACACAGAAGAAACTGAGATCATTAGAACTAAAACGCCTTACATGTAATGTGGAGTGCTCTTTTGTCTCTTCCCTACATGGAACACTGAAAGTTACATAACAAAACTTACCCTTACAACTATCCCACAAAGTGCAATATGGTGACAGTTAACACTACTGTAGGACATACTTAAAAGTTACTAAGAGAGGGGCACCTGGGTGGCTCAGTCAGTTAAGCGTGCGACTTCAGCCCAGGTCATGATCTCACGGTCCGTGAGTTTGAGCCCCGCATCGGGCTCTGTGCTGACAGCTCAGAGCCTGGAGCCTGCTTCGGATTCTGTGTCTCCCTCTCTCTCTGCCCTTTCCCTGCTCATGCTCTGTCTCAAAAATTAAAAAAAAATATATTCCAAAAAAAAAAAAGTTACTAAGAGAGTGGATCCTAAGTTCTCATCACGTGAAACAACATTTTTCTGTGACTACATGAAGTGACAGACGTTAGCTCAAGTCTTCATGGTAATTGTCTTTCAATATGAATGTCAAGCCAATATGCTGTACAATTGAAACTTATAATAGCACTGTGTGTCAATTAAATCTCAATAAAACTAGAAAAAGAAAAATATAATCTATGTGACTCCTGATTTAAAAAACATACCTAGTGACTTTTCTGAAAGGCAAGAAAAATAAATTCATAAAACAAATTCATTAATTTAAAAAAAAAAAAAAAAAGAACCGCCAGGTGGCACAATTCCCCGAGCCTCACCTCCATGAAGAACAGTTTGTTATGCTGAGAACTGACCAGAAGGTGGCAACGTAGCCTCAGTTTCTCAGCACCAACAGCTCAGTCTGGTCTTAGTTTAAGGTTTTTCATATACCAAATCAAAAATACACATCTCAAACATCCTTTATACCAGAAAGCTTTCATTTCCTTACATTCTGAATGTTGATCTGTAGTTCCATTTTGTAGTGATTGAAGTCTTTGGCAAGTTCATGGCCCTGATGATAGAAAGTAAACATTCCCTGAAAAAATGACAGCATCTAAGACAAAGGGGGGAAAAAAATGACATTAGCACAAAAAAAAACCTCAGGGGGAAGAAGAAAGAATAAAAAACAGCCACATTTCCCCCATCCCATTGCAATTCTACTGAAATAAAATTAAAAGAAGTCACCAGAAGTCAATTAAATCTAACCGCATATTATTTATTAATCTGTCTCTTTAAAAAATGAAAGATTTGTGATTTCTCCTTAAATATCAGAGCCATTAGATAGCTTTTATAGTGCACTGTACTGGAGAAATGATACAGCACCCATGTGTTCTTTTTTTTTTTGAAGAGAATCTCCATATCCATTTATAATTGAAACCTTATCACCTATGGTCAACACAAACTGTAACAAAAAGTGAAATCACAGAATCAAAGAGCTACAGGCTCTCTCCAATGGCATTTAGTGCAGCACAACCTCTCTCTTTTGTCTACCAGGACAGTCAGTGACTGGGGCAGAGACAGGTAGAGACAGGGAGATAATTAAGCTCTGAGTTCTTACCAACCCTCAACCTGCTCTTCTTGATTAGAGGGCACCTCCTTCCGCCCAAACATGAGAGTAAATTTAAAGTGAGTACAAGCATAATTTGGGATAGGAATTAAGAAAATCCTGAAATTCATTTTCTTTATAATGTCACATAGCATAATGGCTAGCAATCTGGGACTCTAATGTCAAGTGGCCAGCAGGGATCAATCCCCAACTTCAGCTATGTTATGAGACCTTGGGGAAATTAATGAAATTTTCTGTACTTCTATTTCCGTATTTGCTTAGTGGGATAATAAAAATATCTCCTTCTGGAGTTCCTGTGTGGAATAAACACATGAGCACGATGAAGTATTAGAACAATGCCTTGAACAAAGAGCACTGTAAATAATGTAGGTCATTATTATTTTACATAAAAGAAAGCTTTAAGGAGATGAATTGTTCCCTAATGGTTGAAATTAGGTTAATCTATTATTCCAACTGGACTATTGCTTCCATGAATGCCAATTTTAAGTTAATCATTACTTGGTTATTTTTTGTTTCTCAAAATCACATACAGTGGATAACTGTATAGCATGTAAATTTTATCTCAGTAAAACTGTTTTTTAAAAAACCACATGCAAAAAAAAACACCTATATTAAAATTAATCTTGAGAATCATGAATTCTAGTGTTTCTTGTTTTCACTAAAACCCACAGTATGAATTATTACTTTACATATCTTCATATACATCACATATATATAACATCTATATAAGCACAAACACAAATCATATGTCTCTAAAATAAGTATAAAGAACTGCCAGAGTAACTCACAAAATAGTTTCAAATGCTCCATATGCTGGTTCTTAACCTCGGCTGCCATGAGCATACAGTTGCGTTAAAAATAATTTGTTACAGGGGCGCCTGGGTGGCGCAGTCGGTTAGGCGTCCAACTTCAGCCAGGTCACGATCTCGCGGTCCGTGAGTTCGAGCCCCACGTCGGACTCTGGGCTGATGGCTCAGAGCCTGGAGCCTGTTTCCGATTCTGTGTCTCCCCCTCTCTCTGCCCCTCCCCCGTTCATGCTCTGTCTCTCTCTGTCCCAAAAATAAATAAACGTTGAAAAAAATAATAATAATAATTTGTTACCAAGAACTGTTTAAAGTGCTAAAATTTGGATTTGTGTACTTGCTTCAGAACAAACTCGAGAAGAGTGAAGATTATCCATCGACACCACTGCTCACTCTCCCATCCTAACACTTCTTTCACAGGGTTTTCTTTTAAAGGGTGGGTCTACAATAGGGTGGCAGAAATTGCACCTGATTGCAGTCATTGAGAAATAATATTCACTATATGTGGCTGTGCAAAGGCCGAGAACCACTGAACTGTGAAGGTGGTTCCTTGACCTCATCACGATCTGGGTCCACCCTTTACAATTCATGATGTCTTGCTTCCTGTGTATGTATCCTGGTCCCCAGGAACTGCAAATTTCATCTAGAAAGAAAAATGCTTCTAGGATATCTATTAAATGTAACAGCAGAACAACTTTCTATGATACTTACAGGTTCCACAAACTCAAACTTCTTTCTTTCTTGGATCTCCTGAAGCTTACATACATACTCAAGGGACAGTTCATAAAAGTGCTGCCGGTTTTGCTCCACTTGCATATCTGCCTATGTTAAAGTAATAGAGGCTGGTTAAATCAGAGACGGTAAGGAGTGAAACGCTTGACCAGAGGTTGGCAACCTGCAGCCTGGTTTTCTACACAAAGTTGTCCTGGAACACAGTCGTGGCTACTGGTTTATAGATCTTCTATAGCCACTTTCCTGCTAGAACAGCCAAACTGAATACTATGGCTGCCACAGGGACCTTAGAGTTTGCAAAAGTATACAGCGTTTACTATCTGACTCTGCAGAAAAAGTCTGCCAACGCTTGCTCTTTATGATGAGATTGGCCCCAAAGGATTAAACACTGAAGGATGCCTCTTCACGAAAAACTCACCCCAACCACAACGGACACCCAAGGTTGAACCATACACATATGATCAAAATCACATAAACATTATTTCCATTGACAAATCCTGTAAGAATGCAGTGGGCCTGGGAAACTGTAGTCACTTCAGTAGTCATGAGTGAAGGCAGCAGGTGAGGAAGTGGTAGCTATGGTACCATCTCAAGAACCTGGTTCTTAAATACCATACGATCTGGTAATTCCACTTCCGGGTATAACCCAACAAAAGCATTAATTTGAGAAGACGTGAGCACGCCTATATTTATGGCAGCATTATCTAGAATGGCCAAGATATGAAAGCAGCCAAGTGTCCACCAACAGATGAGCGGATAAAGAAGATGTGCTATATATACAATGGACTACTGCTCAGCCATAAAAACAGATGAGCTCTTCTCACTTACAACAACATGGATGGACTTAGACACTGTTAGGCTAAGTGAAATAAGTCAGACATAGAAAGACAATACCATATGATTTCATGTATACGTGGAATCTAAAAAACAAAGCAAAACAAAATAAACAAAAAGGCAGAAATAGACCCATAAAAACAGAGAATGAGACGACGGCTGCTGGACGGGAGAGAGGTGAGGAGGATGGGCAAAACGTGTGAAGGAGAGAGAAGGTACAGGCTTCCAGTTGCGGAATGAGTAAGTCACGAGGATGAAAGGTACAGCATAGGGGATATAGTCAATAGCACCATAACAGTGTTGTTTGGGGGCAGATGCTAGCTACATCTATGGTGGACACAGCATAACGTATAGAGCTGTCAAATAACTATGTTGTGCCTGAAACTAATGTAAAATTGTATGTCAACTGTACTTCAGTCAAAGAAAAAAGAAAAGAGCCTGGTTCTCAAAAGTTGAGCCAGAGCTTGAAGCCCATCTGTAGGCAGTCAGGCTGTTAAGTCCTCAAAATGTCTCATCCTCTGGGAGTAAACAGGCACCAGATGGTCAGGAGACTGTTCAAAAAAAAAAAAAAAAAAAAAAAAAAGTCCCAGCTTATCTGGTCTAACTAGAAGGGCACTATGGGAGGAGCAGGGTTCCATGGAGGAAGAGCAGGGAAAGAATGGCCAGCCTAGAAACCATTCTTACAAGGCATCACATAATATATTTCTTAATTTGGCCAATTTTTCTTTTAAAGGTATTTATCTAGACATTTCTCCAAAGAAAATATATAAATGGCAAGAAGCACCTGAAAAGATGCTCAACATCACTAATCATTACAGAAATACAAATGCAAGATAACACCTCACGCCTATCAAAACAACAACAAAACTATTAAAAAAAAAAAGAAAGAAAGAAAGAAACAGGGGCACCTGGGTGGCTCAGTCAGTTAAGCATCCAACTTCAGTTGAGATCACGATCTCATGGCTCATGAGTTCGAGTCCCGCGTCAGGCTCTGTGCTGACAACTCAAGAGCCTGGAGCCTGCTTCAGATCCTGTGGCTCCCCCTCTCTCTGCCCCTCCCCTGCTCACACACTCTCTCTCTCTCTCTCTCAAAAATAAATAATAAAACATTAAAAACATTAAAACAAAACAAGTATTGATGGGGATATGGAGAAAATGAAACCCTATGCACTGTTAGTGGAAATGTAAAATGATGAAGCTACTCTGGAAAACAGCATAGCAGTTCTCCAAAAAAATTAAAACCAGAATTATCACGTGACCTAGCAATTCCATTTCTTGGTATATACTCATAAAAACTGAAAACAGGGACTCGAAAAGATTTATCTAACCAGGTTCATAGCAACATTATTTTCAATAGCTAAAAGGCAACAGCAAGCGAAGTATCCACTGACAGATACATGGATAAACAAAATGTGATATATATACACATATACAGTAGAATATTATTCAGCCTCGGAAAGGAAGGAAATTCTGACGTGCTACAACATGGATGAACCTTGAAAGCATTATGCTAAGTGAATAAGCAAGTCACAAAAGGACAGATACTCTATGATTCCACTTTTATAAGCTACCTAGAACCAACACAGAAAGTGGAAGGGTGGTTGTCAGGAGATAGGGGTAGGGAGCTGGAGAAGTTTTATTCAATGGGCACAGAGTTTCAGTATTAAGAGATGACAAGAGCTCTAGATGTGAAGGTAGCGGTGGTCGCACAACAATGTGAATGTATTTAATGCCACTGAACTGTGCCCTTGAAAATCATTAAGTGCGTATATTTTATGGTATGGAAATGTGACAACAATCTTTTTCATCTTGGAGGGAAAAAGTATCTATCATGGCAAAAAAAATTTTTTTAGCATGAAATGAATTTTCAAGTAGAATGTTATATAAGAGTGTTATGTTACTAAGCTACTAAGCTAAAATGAGAATTTCTACTTAATACTCATCAAAATCATCTTTTTTATGCCTCGAATAACCAGAGTTTGAAAGTTCAGCCACCAGTAGCTAGCAGACACAACTCTGGGGCGAGAGGGATGCAATTTTGTTTCGTATTTAATAAAATGAAGATGTGAAGAGTTCCAGGTAGATTCCTCATGTTTGGTTACTGGGAAATGTCCTTCAAGAAAATTACACAAGGATCAGACTTAGCCAAGTAGGCTCTTTATTTCAGCAGATTTTCTCACCTGGTTGTCTGTACTATTCCAATCACCCTGGCATTCATTGATGGTCAACCTCTATACACACCCCTAGTATTCTGGTTATCCATAACCACTATGCCACGCACTGTGTGATTAGATCACCAAAATCCCCAGGGTTGCCCATAACCTGTCATTTACAACAATGCCAAGGGCACCCTAATGATATGGAGCAGCACAGTCCTTTAGAGCCTGACTCAAGTCTGGAAGGCAATCACTATATGTGGAATAAAGCACAAAGCTTCCAAAACCTTTGGAATTTCCTGAGAGATGGGAATATCTTTTGCCATACATAAAGAGCCTCTCCGGAGTTTATGCCACTGAGATGACTTAGGGTGGGGCCTCTAGATAGCACCAGAAAGACTAAATGATCAGAGGGCTAGAACTTTCAGTCCCACCTACTGACCTCTGGCAAAGAACGTAGGAAGTTCTGTAAAAACGCTTGAACTTCAAGGTCTGTGAGCACATGCATGTGCCTGGAGAGTAATACACCCCAGTTCCATGGGGACAGAAGTTTCTATGCTTGGGACCCTTCCAGACCCCACCGTGTGTACCCTTTCATCTAGCTAGTGATCTCAATCTTTTATTCTATTCTTTACGATAAATTAGTTAAGTAAATGTTTTATCTCAGTTCTGTGAGCCACTCAGGAAATGAATCAAACCCAAGGAGGGGGACATAGGATCATCTAATTTATAGCAAGTAGATCAGATGCACAGGTAACACCTTGATTTGCAACTGGTATCTTAAAAAGGGACAGTGCTCTGGACTAAGCCCTTAACCCCCTGGGCTGATGCCATCTCAGGTAGATAGTGTCAGTAGCGAGCTTATTGCTGGGCAGTGTGGGAAAACACACATTCAGACTGTACTTTTTACTAGATCAAGCAAAAGTGACGTTTTTAACAAATTCCAATTTGACCATCACCCAATTTCTGGCCATTCCTTCTATAAGTATTTGTAACAAGAACAGACCGTTCTCCTGCAAAGTTATTCACAAGATCTACTCCTCCAGTCACATATACTGAAATATAATCAACTGACCGCTCAAAAAACAAAAATATACTTCAAAAATTAACAGAAATAGATTTTTCTCAAATGTCTGATACTCGTTCTAGTGTAAATATTAATTAGAATTTAGGGAGGGGGATGGAAATAGAAGGTATTGTGCTCAATAAACATAGAACTACAGCTAATGGTCCTAACAAAATTACCAAAATAGCCAGCCTGGTGTTTGCAACAATCGTCTCCTGTTACTTTCATTTGAGACAAAGAGAAAGAATAAATGATGCAAGTTTCTATGCCTTTGTTCAGTACCACTCTCAGCAAACTTTATAAACCTCTTGAGCACCTCAACTCAGTTCACTAAAGATTAGCAATACATAAGCCAATGCCAAAAGCAACGAAAATCCAAATCTAACTTTTTCCCTTTGAAGAGCATCCCCCCAAAAAAAGGCCTTCATGTTTGCAATAGAAAGCTGTTTCAAGTGGGAGTTTGTATGTTTGTAAACAGTAAACAGCAAGATAGGGCAGAATGTACAGTTTAAATGAAACTAAAATTATTCATCTTGAGGGTCTCTTCAAATTGCTGATCTGGAGTCTAATTATCTTTGGAAATGATCAAATGGATGGAGCCCTAGCTCACTATGCAAGCAACTTCATCCTTCTTCATTCAGTATTTATTGCCTACTCCCTGACTAGTACTGTTCTAGGTGTAAAGGACAGACTACTGAATAAAACAATGTCGCTGCCTTCAAGGAGCTTACAAGATAGTGCAAGAAGCCATGTAACAACCAAATATTTAGTATGTCAAATGTTTGTAAGAATGTGAAAAAATTAAAACAGCCTAAGGGGGACACTTTAAATAAGACGGTGGGGGACTTCTCTAGTAAGGTGAACTCTGAGCAGAGAGTACATGGAGGAGTGAGGCATACAGGTCTGGGCTGGAAACGTACCAGGCAGTAGGACAACAAAAAAGCAATGGCCCTGAGCGCAGAGGATGCTTGACCCAACCCAGCCAGAGCAAAGCAGCCCGTGTGGGTGCGAGGACAGGAGGGTGGGCCCTGGGCCTCCGCAGATAGCTATTAGTGGGGGGTCTGGGGAGGACCAGCAACATCAAGCCTCAACCTGCTTGCTGTATAGAAAATAAACTGTAGGAATATCTTGGTGGAAGCAGGGAGACCAATTAAGAGGGCTCTGCAGTAATCCATGTGAGAGATGCCAGCCGCATGGGCCAGGGTGAGATGGGGCCTGGGGTGGGGGGGTGGCGG